CATATGGGTTGACAATTGATTTGAGAGTCTCCAAGATTTTTCCCTCAAAAAAGAAAGAAAACAACAATAATTAAGAATGACATATCGCGTTTCTTATTATTATGCTTCATTAATTTAATCCTCTGTACATCTGCTTATATTTTTCATGATGTTTCTGTGTACTCTGGATCATCATAGGTACAACTTGAAACTAGCATTACATTTAGATGCTAATATTTTAAAATTTATAAGTTGAAAATATTTTATTTGATTCGATCAACAAGAAGTTTGACCGTATTTTTTAGAATCACAGTGTTCTATTAGTTAAGACCACTTTTTGCGCAAATCGTCGATTTCTTCACGAGAGTTCTTGATAAGGCGCGTTACTCCAAAGTACCTGTTGCTGTATGCGAAACTTTTGCGGACGATTTTTCCGCTTATTTTCGCGCGTTGCCGCGTTTGCGGGAGCGCCGTGCCATTTCGATCAATCTCGCAAAGGGCGTGAATCTCTCTCTCTCTCTCTCTCTCTTTCTGTTTCTCCGTCTCTCGTGAGAAGCAGCTCGCAGTAATAGATCAGGAGTCAAGGAACCGCTCAATAGAGAATGCAATCCCGCGTTATGCATGCAAATCTATGCTGCGATCGAAGGAGCGACGCACTTTTTTTCCACTCGCTACGTCGCAATTGCGCGGGTCGAAATGACGTGGGGAAGTGTCTTTACACGCTTACGCCGCGATAGACTTGGCCGAAGTTATTCGTAAGGTATAGGGGGAGGCTGGAAACTTTTTAAGGTATGTTAATGTATTTAAATCCTGCCTTGGCGAAGTCTGTCACATGTGCAAGCGAGCATAATTTTGTGACATGCAAAGTTTTATTTATATTTTTAAATAGCCACTTGGATTACTCGGATAATCTAATGGTAAAAGTAAATGTGATCAGACATAATTAGTTCAAAGCTGTTGCATGAAAGACAAAAAATGGATTTGATTAATTATTTTTCATAACAAATTTTAACAATTACACGTTATTTATATACAAAATATTTGATTACTTTTTTCTTCTGTAATTAGCAGAAGTTTCCACAAATAAATTGATATTTTCTTCATTATAATTTACTTTTTTATATATTGTAAAATAATTTATTAGAAACACAAATATATACAATTATAGGTAAAGTGTTGACAGAAATTGCATCTATCCGTCAGTAAATTTAAAAATATAAGGTTTGAATTTATGTATCTTTTATATGTAAATAAAGTTTAGGCGATTTTCTTATATATTTCCAGAATTGATCTTTTCAAAGTATTCTGTTTTTTTATAGGACATGATTGCACAAATTCTTAATACTAATTATTTTATTTAAATTAATTCATTATTTATTTAAAAAGGGCAAAAAGAACAGATTACTCAGTTTACAGTCATCGAGAATAGATGTCTCTTATCACAAAAAATTTGCGTGATCTCGAAATTAGCCTCATGTAATTAAACACAAATTAACGAGATAACTTTTAAAGTCCTATCTTCTTGAGATTTTTCAAATGCTCCATTTCTCTTTTTTTTGCACCGGTCTCTCCGATTCACCGAAATCGGCGAATCGGTTCGCCGTCGGCGTGGCTCTCGGAAAATAGTAATTTTCGTCGCGATGGTAGTTTGCCGAGTCTGGGTGCACCTGACGTAGGCGATCTTAGACTGATTAAGGTAATTCGCTGAAATTCGTTCTCCTGCTTCATCCCCTCCGTGTCGTCAACCGCGAGGTCCGGGGATGAAAACGCGCATGTCAAAATGTACGAGAGTGGGGTTGTACTCCTGTATACATATACATACATATCTCTATATTTTTTTATTTAATATATACAGTGTATGTGTATGTATGTTATATATAGAAATAAACATGGGTTTACAGATGAGTGTCGAACGTAATTACATTCGAAATTATATTTGCGGAGGATTTCTGGCTGCTTTAGAGTTAGTTTCGGATCTGATAAAACAGTTAAAAATTATACTGTCGACCAAAGTCGGAAGATTTGATTTATGTTTATGTCAGAGCGCACAGAGATTTTATCTTTAAGTGCACGTGAGAGAATTACGTAGATATAAATAAGACTGAGAATTCCTCTACGAGTTTAAAATCCTTTTGTTATACTTCATTAAGATTAGACTATCATAATCATGTTTAATATTGAGTTTTATTATTTCATATTTTATATTCACATAAATGATATAAATTATCTTTTTTAGTAGAATTTTTTAAATGTTCTTCTCATGTAAGATAGCTATTTATATTGGCTGCGTTCGGAAACGTCGCTCGGATGCCTCGGATTCATCATCTGTCCTTGTTTAACATTTAATATTAAACAAGGACAGATGATGAATCCGAGGCATCCAAACAATGTTTCCGAACGCAGCTATTATATTAAAGATTTCGGTTCTTATTTTCTTTCATCATTATTCTTATTGTTATTCTCTCGTCATTGCTTTGGCATTTATGATAAAGACATTTTGATAAAGTCTCCTCTGACGAAACAAAATAAGATTTGGCATGACACGAGCAATGACGTCCAGCCGGAAAAAATCGGATTAAGCAATCCGATGTTGCTGGATCAACAGGATTTTCGCCTCACGTCCCGCTAATCCTAATCTGGTTTATGCGATTCAACTAACTAGGTCTTTCTACGGTTTCCTGTCTCTCACTTTTTCCCACTGAAAGAAATCATACACGAAGTTTTAAACCGTGAGTGATTAGTTTTCTCTAACTGAGATAAGCGACTGCGTAAGTATCTGACATTTTGATACTTAGATGACGGGAGGAATAAATATTTTGATAAAAAAAAACTGAAAAAACTTTTATATTCGAAATAATGTAAGAATGAGAAAAGAATTTTACGATTATTTTAGTGTTTTAAAATTTTTTGGTATGAACTCGCAAATATATTCGTGAAATTTAAGACATCATTTCACGTCAAAGGAAAATTATTGAGGATTATTTTAAGTATTTTCTAATGCCTCTATCGAGGATAACATCGTTTGAGCAATTTATTTTAATCGACATTGATACGTGAACACCCTATGTATCTGTCTTATATTCCTTAAGACCGTTATTCAAGCATTTAAGTCGTTATGCGATAATATCGGAATTCTACGTGATATTTATACGCAAGATTAGAGTTCCTAAACGTGTTACCTTAATTTATGTTATTGATTTCACGATTAGATAATAATTTACTGCTTGAACGTAAGATCGTAATTTCTTTTTGTAAAAATAGCCTTAAATAGTTATAATCACCATAATATGAATTAAAAAATCAATTTCAACTTTATGTTAAATATACGTCATTAATTTGGAAATATATTTTAACTTTAATCGCTATATTAGAATTTTATGCAATTGTCATGCACAATTGATTTACTATCTCGATTTTCTCTGTCATATATGTCCATTGATAATATAATGTTTAAAGTTTTATATTTATACTGATTTTATATATATATATATGTAATGAATAAAATGAATTAATTTATAAAAAGTATAAAAAATATTATAAAATATAAAATATGTATAAGAATACGCAGTAAAGTTATTTTGTAAATAATGTTAGCCAAGATATTAATAGTTTTTATTTTGTGTAGCTCGTGTTGTGTGTTCTTTACTAAAATTCGTAATTGATATGGATTTTTGAAATGGAATAATTTGAAAAGAAGTCATTTCAAAAGCAATAATGATGAAATTATTTATTAGTTAAATATGTGAGTGATTTGAAATTTTTTTTTGTTAATGTTAAGATTTACGCTACCGGGTGACTCGGTTTTATTGTATTAAGTCAAGTAGCTTGGACTAGCAGCGGGGCGCATACTAGTCGATTATGTGGAATAGTTTACGATTTTGAAGTTAACTTGCGAACGTTCACGGACGTCGATGCCGTTCTACTACCCTCGCCTTTCTCACCCTTCCACGAGAGGGATGAGATGCGCAAGGTCAGATCTTAAGGGTGGGAGGAGGGTTGCTAGGTTGACAACCCTGCCAGCCAGGCAGAGGGACTCCGCCCATTGGCGGAAACCGCGGAAAAAAAGGAAGAGGAGGGTGAATTCCGTGGGTCTCAATGATGGCGATAAAAACGGCGAGAGGGCGAACGAACGGAAGAAAAGGAAAAGGAATAATGGCAGAGCGAAGAAAAAAGAAAAAAATTTAGAGAGAGAGAGAGGGGGGAGGAAAGCAAAGGGCGAAAGAGCAGTGTCGTTCGCGAATGTTAATTAACGACGAATTATAATTATTCGCTGTAGGGTCCGGTCGCAAAAGACGCGCGAAAAAACGGCCGCGAAATTAGCCAGATGAAAGATTGCGCAACTATAAATGCCGAAGCGCGATCGTTAAATTCATCGATGCAATAATCCGCAGCTTTTTGTTTAAGTGCCGCGAGATTTATGGTCGTGGTACCCCGTTGCGATGTTCGAAATTTTTCCTCTTTCCCCTCCCACATCTTCTTTCTTGCATCTTCTTGAATTAAAGAGAACGTCATTAGCTAGGCAATTGTAACGTAGTCCGAAATGGTGAAATTTCAGCTGACCATTTGTAACGCAAACATTTTAACTACGATATTTTACGTTGTTCGAATTGCTGTGTTTAAATTACTGAGCGATGCTTGGTAGTAATTGAAATCTCAATTAACGCTCGGTAATTTTTGATATATTTAATCGTTCCTGTTATGTTAACAATGAATAATGTATATATCTACAGAATTGTGCAACAAAAAATGTGCGTTCTGCCTTGATGAATTTAAAGACTTGTTTAGCGAAATTCTTGTTTATTGAATTTTTTTTATTAATGGCCATCGTCGATTATTTAATTTTCAATCATTGTCAACGATTTATTTATAACTAAATTAAAAATTTATTTTACGAGCTTAATATTTGAATCAAATATATTTATAAAGTGAGATTATCTTGTAAAAATCAATATTAATTTAACCTTCTGAGGCATGTTTTTGATCGACTTTTTTATTTTAAAGGCTAGAACTTTTTTGTCAATATGGGGTTGAGCGGCGGAAAAGGTGGCGCCACTGTCGAGTCCCTAAAGGGGGGTCTTCGGTCTTCCACAGGTTAATTTAATTTTCTCATTTATCTTTGATTTTTGGACAAATATAACACTTATGTCGATTTACATATAATAAGAATAATTGGTAAAATATAATATTGTTTTTAGAAAGATTTAAATTTAGGATGCAAAAATTAGACTCATGTCGCAATAGCGAATGTTGCTATTTACGTGGTAATTGTATTTGGATTATCTAGATTTAAAATTTTATGGTTACGTCTAGCAATTTTTACTAGATTAAGAAACGATTTAAACATTCTGTTGTTCGCAACACTTTAGTGTTGCAAACAACGGAATATTTAAATTATTATCGCACAAACATCTGCAATTTCCAAATCTATCTTTTCCTTTATTTAAAAATTGCATATTTCCTTTGTTCAAAAATTACATATTTGATTTACATGCTGATTGTGGATAAAAAAACATAATTGCATTTAATTCTCGGTAGCGTCAAAAAGAGAGGAAAATAATGTAAGACTTAGGATTAATGTAATTTGCAAAGAGTGCGCGATATGCTGTCAAGATTCCTTCAAGGAATCCCCGCTTCAGATTCATTACAAAATTCGCGAAGCTTGAAACGAACACGCGATTTTCATTATCAATCTTATCAGCTCGTAAAAACAAGATTTTTTTTCACGGATCGGATTAGTTGCTGCTCTACGTGATTAGTACGGCGATTATGTCGCATTGTTGTATTTTTACATCAGTCCAGTTGTGTCAACCAGATCGTACGGTGATTTAACCGTCGAATATACAAAAAAGCCCAGCACAATGCACGCCTCGTTATGCACGCGCGCTCTTACAATGAAAGCGCTTAATCTTCTTTCTAAATAAAACGCGCGCCACGCGCTTGAAAGGATTCCAAACATTTCGATCGATGCTCCCAATGCAATTAATAAGCCATTTTTCCTCCCTTTTTTTTATAACAAATCATCGCCACGCGCGTTTACTTTGCGTATCTGCATGTGATTTTAATTCGACTCATTGCAGATAATTTTGCGCATAATTCCGATCGAGTTTCCATTGTGATAATTATCCGACGGGCGTTTCGAACAAGCTGGAAATTTGTATTTATAAATAAATACGCGTGTCGCGAAAGAAGTATTTAATATTGCGAGCGCTAACAATATTTCATTCTTTCAGCACTAGATTACAGCAGCACTGTATTATTTGAAACGGAAAAGAAAGAGAATATTCTCGAGTATAAATTGAAACGCTCGGCGATTTGAATCTCGGCGATGCATCCGCGATTACATTAAATCGCGTAAAGCCGGCGTTGCGTTACGCGGAATGCGTAGCGCATATTTACAGCGAAATGTTCAGCATTGCGTGCAGAACCAATATTAATTTAAGCTTTGTCCGGAACCAATGACATAACGTTTGTGTCCGCTGCGCATGCATTAATAACCGTGCGTTAATATTTCATCAAATTTCAATTGAAATTTTCGAATTGGATGTATCAGATCGAGTCGTTTGACGGAGCGCAAAAAGATTTGCGCGTTTCATCCATGAAAGGCGAGGGAAAAAAAAGAGAAAAAAAGATGTAGGTAGTTTAAAAGAGGGCGATATTGAACGAGCTTGTACGGTGGGGCTGAACGTCACGTCGTAAGATCTCGAGGCCGAAGTGACGGAGGTGCGTAATATGTTCTCTTTTAATTTCAACAGGGAGACGCGGTCTGGCGATGCTCCTGTCA